CCCCCCGGCCCAAAAACCCAAAGACCCCCCCCTGCCTCTGCCTCCCGAGTGCTGGGACTAAAGGCGTATGCCACCAACGCTCGGCTTATTAACAGTTTTCTAAATTAAAATATAACCATGTCATTTCCCCTTTTTCCTCCCAACCCCTCACATACATATGTCCCTTATTTATCTCAAATCCATGCCTTCTTTTTCTTCTATTGTATACACACACACACCCCTAAATATATAAATACAGCCTGCTCAGTCCATATATTGTTATTTGTATACAAATTATTTCAGGACTGACCACTTCTTGTTGGGGAATCATAACAGTGATCCCTGAGGAAGACTATTTTTTCTGCTCTCAGCAGTCGATCCCCAAGAAATTTCCCCCTTCCATGTTAGCATATCTTTTAGTGTTTTCCTTATTCAGGTTATTTAGGCAGCCATGCTGCTGAGACTTCATGGGTGTAGCTTCCCTGATATTTCTAGGAAACACATCCTCACAGCAGACTTCCCCTGACTCACAGTCTTTCCATCCCTTCTGCCTGGATGATCTCTAAGCCTTTGGTACAAGAATTGTGTTGGAGATGTATCAGATGGGGCTGGGCCTCACTTGTTCCTCTGCATTTTGATTTGTTGAAGTTTTCTGCAATGGTCTCTGTTGCAAAGTTTCTTTATTTAATGAGAGCTAGACCCTGTCTCAAGATGTCTCCAGTAGCCAGGCATGGTAGTGCACGCCATTAATCTCAGCAGAGGGAGATAGAGGCAGGGGGGTCTTTTGAGTTCCAGGGCCACCCTGGCTTAAAATACAAACAAAAAACAAAACAAAACAAAAAGCAAAGCAACAACAACAAAGATAAGATATCTCCAGTAAACCTGAGTGTCAAGTTATCTTATAGATCCACTAATAGTTGCTCTCTTTACAGGTTTCCTGTTTTAAATTCAGCAGCTGTTCAGCTCCTTTGCAATGTTTAGGATTACCATGTTATGGCATGTTTTTACAGGTACATTGTTTAATGAAAGAATGATTTTGAACTGTTAATAAGCACAGTATAGAATCCCTGTGTAAATTAAAAGAAGCTCTAATAATCTTAAAGCAAAATAATGTTGTAAATATTTGTCAAGAGTAGTTTTTCTAACTGGTGAGAAATGCGTAGCATTTATTTACTCTAAACACATGTACTTACATTTTGTTTGTTATTTTGTGACCTGGGAATTGAACCTAGGCCCTTAGGCATACTAGGTAAGCAATCTATCTCTGAGCTGCAACCCAAGATCCTAGCCAATTTAAGAGACTAAAGGTGGTATACGTGTCTATATGTTTCTTATATTATTTTTTGAGTGAGGGTCTCACTATGTAGCCCTGGCTGTCTTGGAACTCATTATGTAAACCAAGATGGTCTCAAACTCACAGAGATTTGCTGCCTCTGCCTCCCAAGTGCTTTAGAAATCAATCTATTATTTCAAGAATACTTACTAATCTCTTATAAACACATAAAAATGAAAAGTATCATTTATTAAGCCTTATACCATGTGCCAGACACTGTCCTAAACAGTCTTCATGAATTATCTGATTGAAAACTTATAGCCACCTTAGGCTCTTAGCACATCCCTCAGGCCTGCACAAAGAATCTTCTGCTATATCCCAGGCTGCCAGCCATTGGCTCCTATGCACCCAGATTCTAGGACTTCCTACTAACACTCTTTCAAAACAGACCTTTTACTTTTTTCCATTTGTTTTATACTTTCTATCTTTGGATTAAGTATTAAGATACGCATTCATGTAAAATTAAAAAGGAACAAAATATATAAAGTAAAAAGTCTCCCTCCCAGGCCTGTCTCCCATCTACTGATTTCCTTTCACCAGAAATAATCACTGCTTAGCAATTTCTCTCATTCTAGAAGGCATAAATTTAAATTGTGGGGTGCTGGGATTGAAGATTAATATTTTTTTAATGTGTGTAGGTCTGGAGAGATGCTCAACAGTTATGGGCACTGGCTGCTCTTCCAGAAGACCAGGAGTCAATTCCCAGCATATATATGGTGGCTCATAAACATCTAAACTCGCCAGGCGTTGGTGGCGCACGCCTTTAATCTCAGCACTCGGGAGGCAGAGGCAGGTGGATCTCTGTGAGTTCGAGGCCAGCCTGGTCTCCCGAGCGAGTGCCAGGATAGGCTCCAAAGCTACACAGAGAAACCCTGTCTTGAAAAAGAAAAAAAAAAAAAATCCAAACTCCAATTGTAGGAGGTCCTACAGCCCTCTTCTGATCTTCTTGAGGATCAGGCACACACATGGTACACATACATATATGCAAGCAAAACATTTATACACATAAATTAAATCTAAAATTTTTTTACATTTGTATTTGTATCATATCAGAGTGGGAGCTGGTGCTCCTTCCACCTGTGGGATGGGTGTTGCACTTTACCTGAGCCATCTCACTGTCTCAGAAGATTTCCATGAAATCCAGGTACTTTACAGATTTATATGGGAGGAAGGGCTAAGAATGGTGACACACACCTTTAATCCCAGTGCTCTGGAGGCAGAGACAGAGGCCGGCCTGGTCTACCTAATGACTAAAGGCCAGCCAGGGTTGCATAGTGAGACCTTGTCTAGAGAATAAATGAATAAAGTACATGATTAATGAATTTATATAATTGTATGCCACTTAAATCTCCTTTTTTATATGTTTGTACATTTTTATATGTTCAAGAAAGTTATTAAATTTTGTCTGTTTTTTCATTTATTAAAAACAAGCAAGTTATAATCAATTATTACATTAAAATGAGATCTTGTGCTGAAGAGATGGCTCAGTGGTTAAGAGCACTGACTGCTCTTCCAGAGGACTAGGTTTCAAATCCCAGCACCCACATGACAGCTCACAACTGTCTATAACTCCATTGCCAGGGGATCTATACACTCACACAGACAGACATGCAGGCAAAACACCATTGAACATAAGATAAAAATAAACCAATCAATAAAATAAAATAAAATAAAATGAGATCATTATCGGCCTGGAGGTGGTGGTGTACACCTTTAATCCCAGCACTCAGGAGGCAGAGGCAGGTGAATCTCAGTAAGTTTGAGGCCAGCCTGGCCTACAGAGTTAGTTCCAAGACAGCCAGGACTGTTACACAGAGAAACCCTGTCTCAAAAAACCAAGAGAGAAAGGGGGGGGGGGAGATCATCATCATTTGTAAGCAATATCAAAATTACAGGTATAAAAGTCTTAGTCTACTGTAAAACCAAGCCACAGAGGCCAAAAGATGGTCCAGTAGGTAAGAATACTGGATGTGTAAGTGTGAAGACCTAAGTTCAAATCCCCAGTACCTGAGTAAAAAAGCTCCCATTGCCATGGTGATTTATAATCTCATCCATGGGGCTTACTGGCTGCCAACATAGCCAAAAACTACAAGTTCTAAGTTTGGTGAGACCATTTAGAGGACATGTAAAGGAGGACAACCAACATGTCTGTATGTGTGGCCTCTGTGGTCACATACATTCTCACACACATACATACATAAAAATAAATGAATAATTGGTTTAGTTTAGTTTGGTTTAATTTAAGTTCAAAAACTGAGTCACAAAACCAGGACTAGAATCCTGGTTTACTCAGACTTGCTTCAGGCAGATCTAGGGTTTGAGGCCACTAATAGGACAGTAGTGAGAGAGGTCCTAACTGAGAAGGCTATAGAGATGGTTCATCAGCTAAGAATACTTGATGGTCTTGCAGAACACCAAAGTTTGGTTCCAGCACCACATCAGGGCAGCTCACAATTGCTTGTAGCCCCAACTCTTCTGGCTTCCACAAGCACCTTCAACATGTGGCATAACCTAATAGAGATACACACACAAATAAAAATAAAATAAATTTATAAAAACTTAAGGATTTTCTGGGTGTTGATGACACATGAACTTGGGAGAGGCAGGCAGATCTCTGATTTTGAGGACAGCCTGTGCTACATAGTGAGTTCTAGGACAGCCAGGGCTACATAGAGAGACCCTATCTTGAAAAAACAAAACAAAAACAACTTTCTTCCTAACCAAAAAGAAGCAAGATAGATTTTGGAGAATTTCTAGGTTGTGATTATATAAATTTCTAGTGAATTGAGGGTAAAAATTGCACATCACCTAGATCATATACTGTAAACAGCCTATTTTCATTAGGAAGTAGTGGCTTACCCTTCCAATTTTTGTCTGAGCTTGTGCAATGTTTCTTCTGTTTTCCTCAGACCTTAACAGCGGGTTGGGATGAACTCGAATGCCATCGTGTTTATAACTTCTTATGTGAGCTGACTAATCTCTCCCGTAAGATGCAGACTGTTGTCTGTAACAAACCAGGTAAAGACCTTCAGTTCAAAGATAGTATTGTATAGAGATGAAATGTTAAGAAAAGGTAGAGTTCAAAAGTATATATAAAACAGTTGTGGAGGGACTGTAGCTCAGTTGGTAGTGGGTTCAATCCCCAGCACCACAGAAACTAGGATACCTGCCAGGCGTTGGTGGCATACATCTTTAGTCCCAGCACTCGGGAGGCAGAGGCAGGCGGATCTCTGTGAGTTCAAGGCCAGCCTGGTCTACAGAGTGAGTGCCAGGACAGGCTCCAAAGCAATACAGAGAAACCCTGTCTCGAAAAATACGAAACAAAAAACAAAAAGCAAAGAAACCCTCAACATTTGTAATATTTATTTTTAAACATAGAAAGATGTAAAACTGACTAAACTACTTGATTTGTATATTGTATTTGTTATTGTATTTTTACTTTTCTGTCAATTTGAATCAAAAAGTGATGAGCTTGGCGGTGGATGGTGGTGAACACCTTTAATCTCAACGCTTGGGAGGTAGAGCAGGCAGATGTCTGAGTTCAAGGCCAGCCTAGTCTACACAGTGAGTTCCAGAACAGCCAGGGCTATACACAGGGAAACTGTATTGAAAATCTTCTACCCCAAAAATTGATGGATAAAAAGGCAGATTTATTTATGTACTTGCCTATTTAGAGTGTCATTATGTTTCTTTACTGCTGAGGATTGAACCTAGGGTATTAAAAATGGTAAGATCTACCATTGAGCTACATTCCTAGCACCAAGAGTCTCACTAGGTGGCACAGGCTGTCCTCCAACTTAATATGTAGGCTATTCTAGCCTCAAACTGACAATTCTCCTGCTTCAACCTCCTGGAAAAGGCAGATTTAGAAATTCAGTGACTTGATAACACAATTTAGTATACCTTTCCTTTGATCAAAAACTTCTGTTAGCTTCCTAACATATTAAAAATAAAATCTAAGCTATATAAACTAGCCTTCAGATTGTGGTCCCCACCTACTTTTTCAAAGTCATTGCCTGATGAGTGTGGTCGTGTAGACCTTTAGTCCTAGCACTCAAAAGGCAGAGTCAATGAGTCTCTGTGACATTGAGACCAGGCTGGTCTACATACTGAGTTTCAGGATAGCCAGAGCTACATAGAGAGAGTCTGTCTCAAAAATTATCAAACTTACTTCCACTATTTGACTAGGACATATTGTTCTTTCTACCATTATCCAAATTATCGAAGCTAAATAAGGAAAGTAAGCATGGTAAGATAGTCAAACTGTAAAGTTAGGGCATCTTTTCCTTCTTAGTGAATTTTATATACTCAGTTCATTGCTCTTTTTTTTTTTTTTTTTTGGTTTTTCGAGACAGGGTTTTTCTGTGTAACTGTGGAGCCAGTCCTGGCACTCGCTCTGTAGACCAGGATGGCCTCGAAGTCACAGAGATCCGTCTGCCTCTGCCTCCCGAGTGCTGGGACTAAAGGCATGCACCACCAACGCCCGGCAGTTCATTGCTCTTTTAACTGCAGCTGTTAATACCTGGCTCTGATCACTATCCAGTATGCAACTTACCTTTCTAGAAAAATGATTCACAACTTTTTCTTCATAGGAAGTGCCAGAAAACTAGAGTTAAGGATTAGACTGTTCTGTAGGAATGTCCTACTTGATCACTGGACACAACGAAGTGATTCTGCATTTTGGTTGACTAGAATATTAAAACCATGGCCAATGGTAAATCAGGCAAGATTGCTCTATATTATCTTTGGACCAACATCTCCTCAAGATGGTAAGCACCATTTTTTTCAGTGATGTGTGTTATATACCTGGTTAATTACTTTTGCTTTAGGAAGGCTTTTAAAAAAAAAAACTTTACTGGTTGATGCCCACTTTTAATCCCAGCACTCAGGAGGTAGAGGCAGTAGGTTTCTGTGAGTTCAAGGCCGGGCTATTCTACATCTTTTTACCATTCAACAGGTAGTGGGACCTGGAAGAATGAAACAGACTAAAGTCTCAGACAATAGCCAACTTTATGCAGAGCATCAGACAATATAACTCTGAGGGTTAAGAAGAGGCCCATGAATCAAGTGTCCAATCACAAGGGCAAGCCACACACAAGAAACTGAGATACTTGCTTGTTTTCTTGGATTTTTCTCACAAGCACTCAGAATTCTCCTCACATGACTCCATTCTTGAACCACATTCCAACAGATAGACTTCCATACCAGTCAGAGAAACATAGTAAGTATCTTAGTTAGGGTTCTATTGCTATGAAGAGACACTATGACCATGACAGCTCTTATAAAGGAAAGCACTTAATTGGGGCTGACTTACAGTTTCAGAGGTTTTAGTCCATTATCATCATGGCAAGTGGAATGCAAGCAGACACAATACTTACTGGAGAAGTAGCTGAGAGTTCTATATTTTGATCCTCAGGCAGAGGAAGTGAACTGTGTCACACACAGGCATAGCTTGAGCATATAAGGCTTCAAAGCCTGCCTCCACAGTGACACACTTCATCTAACAAGGCCACACCTCTTAATAGTGCCACTCCCTAAGCCATTCAGATGTGAGTCTCTGGGGGCCATATTTATTCAAACCACCACAGTAAGACTCTGTCTCAAAAATAAATAAATGCCATTTATTTATTTTGTGTATGTTTACATACATGCTCACACATGTGTAATATGGCATGTCTGTGGAAGTCAACGTGCAGGAATAACTTTTCACTTTAAACTGTGGGGTTCTGGGATGGACTTCAGGTTCCAGGTTGACAGCAAGCACCTTTACAACTTTACCTACTCATCCGTGTTGAAGGCCCTAGGAAGGTCTTTTGTCTTTACTCATGGTTTCAGAAACATACTGCATTGACTTGTGCATACCTCAAGCTTCAAGACAGAAATTGTTCTGCTCTGAGTTATATATATATATATATATATATATATATCTTTGTTTTTTGAGACAGGGTTTCTCTGTAGCCCTGGCTATCCAGTAACTTGCTCTGGAGACCAAACTGGCCTCAAACTCACTGATTTGCCTGCCTCTGCTTCCCAAGTACTGGGATCAAAGGCAAGGCCACCACTGCCCAACTCCTGTCATCTCTTATTCACCTAAAAGTGCTGCTTTTCCGTCTTAAACATTAATGTAACTCAAGGTTATCTTTCCTGCTGGCGGGGACTAATGATGCTAAGCAAGAAAACAGTGTGGCTCAAATTGATGATTTACTTAGTTTTAGGTTTTCAGATTCATAATCTGACTTTTAAAAAAAAATTGCCTAGGTTGTATTTTAGATTAATGCTAAAAATTATCTTACATTTCCTTATTCCACTTTTATCAGTAGATAACCAGTTTTAATGCATAGTGGCTAGCAGCCAGGACTTCTATTTTGAAATTAAAATGTTTTGTATAAACCACAGAGAAGATTGGTGATGGACAAACTAATAGAAGGTGACTAAGCTGCTCTGTTGTGATACGAATGTTTGAAAGATGCTAATAGAAGCAAGCTCCTTTCTAGAAGGATTCAGTAGATTTTACTAAAATTGTAGCAATTGATATTCCAGTCTGTATTACAGGGTAATATCATCTTTGAACTAAAAGCACTATCCTTTGAGGCTGGGAGATAGTTCAGTAGGTAATGTGCTTGCTGTGCAAACATGAAGAACTGACTTTGATCCCCAGTATCCAGGTAAAAGCTGACTGTGGTGGCTTGTGCTTGTAATCCCAGCTCTAAGGATGCATCAATGCGCATATCCCTAGGACTCCCAGCCATCTTAGCCTGATAAGCAAGCCCCAGATCGCAATGAAAAACTCTGTCTCAATGAGTGATGGTGGCACATGCCTTTAATCCTAGCACTCGGGAGGCAGAGGCAGGCAGATCTCTTGAGTTTGAGGCCAGCCTGGTCTACAGATCGAGTTCCAGGACAGATAGGGGTACACTGTGAAACCCTGTCTCGAAAAGAAAAAAGAAAAAGAAAGAAAGACTCTCTCAAAACTAAAAAAATGTGAATGATTCCTAAGGAGTGACACCCTGGTCTCCACATGCATGCACACTCACACTTGAAAAAGATAAAACAAATAATAAATAGATAAAAGCGCTGTTCTTTTTTATGAAGTAGAGTTGGAGCTTAATAAGGATTGTTAATATAAAGAGCTAGAGAGATGGTTCAGTGATTAAGAGCACTGGCTGCTCCTCCAAAAGACCTAGGTTTGGTTCCCAGCACCCATATGGTAGCTCACAACCCTCTGTAACTTCCATCCTAGAGGATCCAACACCCTCTTCTGACTTCTGCTGACACCATGAACTCACATGTTGCATATATATATATATGCAAGCATTCATACTCATACAATAATATAAAGCAAAACCTCTATAAGCCCCAGTAACAAAAAATTAAATTAAAAATATATGTTAATCTAGGCTTAAGCAGAGACTTAAGAGAACTCTTTCTCAGAAGGAAGTAACATGACAACATGGGTGTGGGCTTTACAAATAATTGTTGAAAGGAAGACCTACCAAAGCATGGGTAAAAGCTCAGGGAGAGTCACAAAAGCATGTTCTTCATGTTCAAACTCCTTTAGTTTCTTGGTTTAGATATTGTTGCTGTGTTTCATCATAGTTAATGAGAAACTCAAATTTATAATGATATCAGAATTGATGTTTTAATGATGAAAGTAGCTTATATAAGTAATAGGATTGTGTAATCCTTTTCATTCTAACAAATCCTAGAAGTCTTTATCACAAAGCTATCTATTCTGTCATAGCCTACCTTTTTTTTTTTTTTAAATCCAGGGCAGGTGATTTGGCAGGAAATGGTGGAGGGACCCACAGATGAATCCAGTCTGAAAGGTTTGGCTAATGCCATTAAGTTACTGTATGACACAGGTACCAAAGAGTGGACAGCAGATGATGTTATCAGTCTTGTAGATGAATTATCAGGTAAAATACATATTTACTAATATGGAATAATAGAAATTTATTATTAGAATACAGATATAAAGTTATATAGACAATTCTCTAGCTAACAAAGAGTGTGTTAGAAATCACTAATTGATCAATATGTGGCTTTAAGTATGTTTTGTTACTTACTGCTCCAAAACATTTTAGTTTTGTGTTTTGTGTATGTGTGTGTATGTATGTAAATGTATGTATGTAAAGAGTATGTAAATGCATATGGTATAAGAATGTGTTTATCTCAGTTTCCAATGTTTTAAATTAAAATTTTTCTTTGGCAATTTCATGCATTTATATAATGCATTCTGATTACTCTTGCTCTTCACCCTCTCTTAGCTCCCTCCCACTCCCATAAACTCCCCTCCTCCTCCCTATAAGACTTTCTCTCTGTCAAGTCTTTTTGTTTTGTTTGTAACGCACTAAGCTTAACCATGGCTGTCCACATGGCCATGGGTGTAGAACTGCACCTTGGAGCCTGGTAGACTCACCAGTGGGTACACAACTGAAAACAAAGGCTCCCACTCCCATAGCATCCATCAAGAGCCAGTGGTCCCCCAGGAGGGATTGGATTCCCAATTTCATAAATATGTAATATTATTAGGTCACTTCATAGTTTAATGAGTTTGCTTACTCTCATTTTACAAGTTCTCACACATACATACCCTTCTAGATTATTTATTTGTTTTTATAAACAAAGCTTTCTGCTGCTGTACAGGAGGGGGATTAAACAGCTACTCTGAAGTTTACAAGGCATTTATCCTTACATATGATGTCACTTTGCCTGCTGAAGCATATGTAGAAGAACTGCTTTGACTAAACTGTCAGCACAATGGTAAAGCACAATGACATGGGGGTGAACCCTGTCTCTGGTTGAATACTATAATTGAAAAACTAAGGCCAGGCAGTGGTGGCACGCATCTTTAATCCCAGCATTTGGGAGGCAGAGGCAGGCGGATCTCTGAGTTAGAGACCAGCCTTGTCTATAACAGCTAGTTCCAGGACAGCCTCCAAAGCCACAGAGAAACCCTGTCTCAAAAAAAAAAAAAAACAAAAACAAAAAAAAAACAAAAAAACAAAACAAAACAAAAAAAAACCAAGGAAGGAAAAGAAAAACTAAAACTAAAACATGCCAGACATAGTGGCGCAAACCTTTAGAGTGAGTTCCAGGACAGCCAGGAATACACAGAAAAACACTGTTTCAAAAAGAAAGAACAAAACTAAAACAGTGTTTGTGAGTATTTCCCTTGGCACTAATTACATTTCCAATAAAGTAATATAATATTGAATGTGTTTAAAGATGTATAATACAGCAATTGTGTAATTTCTCATTCAATCACTGTTCTTCCTTTAATAAAAGTGGTTCCCCGGGAGTGGCTTCTGGAAAATAATGCACGCCTCCTAATCCTGAGTGGGAACAACATCTGCTTCACTTTTATGGCTAGTAAAGCTGGAGAAGGAGGAGCCATTGAGCTAGCGAGGCTCATAGTCTTTTTGGCTTTGGTAAGTAAAAACTAAGTTTTTCTCTGGCAAGTTATTTAGCATTCACTTGATCAAGCAATGAAGCTGCTTCCCTGGTGCTTACAAAGCCCCATGTTGGTTGGTCAGTCTGTCTATCTATTTTAAAAAATAAGTATTAAAGTACATATTTTATTTATTTGTTTTTCGTTTTTGAGACAAAGTCATATATACATAGCCTAGACTGGCCCCAAACTCACTCACTATGTAGGCAAAGATGACCTTGAATTTTAGAGTTGGGATTACAAGCATGTGCCATCACATTCCATTTTATTCATTTACTGAGCATTTCCCATTGCAGACTCAGTGGGGATATCCTATGCAATAAACCATACTATGTCATAAGCCTGCCCTATGTAATACACTGCTAAATCATAAGCTGTCTCGTCACTGCCATTTCAAGCTTTATAGCTTTCTTCACATGAAGACTGATAGTAGTGCTTTGTGTATCTGAATTAGGTGTGTGAGAAAGAGCTGTACTGCATGGACTGGACAGTTAGAATGATGCAAAAAGTCTGCAAGGTCTTCAGTGCTGCAGCAGAGAGAAAGAGCTTCCTGCAGAGCGTGGCAAATGCTTTTGCCTGTGTCACCATGGAAATGCTGCAGCCTATTATGTCTGGTAAGTAAGAGTGTAGACAGTATATAAGAGTGAGTGATAGTGCCTTCAGGTCTTAGCCTCAGATGCAACTACCTGGGCTTGGTGGTGCACACCTATAATCCCAGTACTTGAGGCTAAGCAGGAGATCTGAAGTTTGAGCCAGCCTGGGCTACACAGTAAAACCCCGTCCCAGAGTTTGGCTTTTTGAGTCTCCTCTCTCCTCCCTCTTGCTCTCTCTCTCTCTCTCTCTCTGTGTGTGTGTGTGTGTGTGTGTGTAGTTCTGTAGTCCTGGGACTCTCTATGTAGACCAGGCTAGCCTCAAACTCACGGATAGCCAACTGCCTCTGCCTTCCAAATGCTGAGACTAAAGGCATGTGCTACCACACTTGGCCTCATATAGGTTTTAACAGATACTAATTTAGTTTACAAAAAGCTTTGTTTGGAACTCATAGAGATCCACCTGCCTCTGCCTCCCAAGTGCTGGGATTAAAGATGTGCACCACCTGGCTTTTATTTTATTTTGCCTACATGTATGTCTGTGCACCATGTGCATGTGTGATACCCACAGAAGTCAGAAAAGGGTGTTGGATCCCTTGGAATTGAAGTTTCAGATGGTTATGAGCCACCATGTGGGTGCTGAGAATCAAACTAGGGTCCTCTGCAAAAAAGGCATAGGCTGATGATTCTAACCAATAAGCCATCTCTCCAGTTCCTAATTAGCCCTGTTTTATAGATGAAAAAAAGAAAACAGAAATAACCAGACTTGCCCAAGGTCATAAATTAAACAATACTAATGCTTAGACCAGTGTCCTTTCTCATTTTCTATCTAGTGTCTAATTTCATGGCTTTAATGGTAATGCCTGGCTTAATAAAGATCGACAAAAATTCTTCTCTTTGAATATTATTAAAAACACTTACAACATCTTATATTCCTAAGCCATGTGTTAAAATGTTTAACTTCTCCCTCTCCCTGCTGTCTGTTCCTGTGTATGTGTTACAGGAGAGCGAGATGATGATGACAGAGGCTTCCTGAATTTGTTCCATCTTCTGCATGCTCAGGCAAACTTCCATAAGGAGGTGCTATATTTGACCATGAATGCCTCTTCTTCCTAAGTCAAGAAGCTTGTCACTTAAAGAATATGTCACCAGACTAGTGCTTAGGAGAGTGACGCTTTTTCACATCCAGGGGTAGCATCTGTTGGACTTTTGATGATCTAATTATCCAGAAACTCCAGCTGCACAGGATTTAGCTGTAACTGCTTCACCTTGATTAATGTAAAATAACTTGCAAACCCAAGAACGTGTTGCTACTTTTCTGGGAAACAGCTCTACCTCTCCAGGTCTTGGTAAACTCAACATCAAACTAAAACAGAATGTTAACTGTGCTATAATCTGCAGCCAACTCAACCTATTTGTGTGGCTCTTTGAAGCAAGAGCTAATTCTGCTTTACTAAGAACAGATTCACTTTCGTTAACTAGTGATTTCTGTTCACTTCGCTTAGGCTGAGCAAATATGGCCCAAATGTTTTATGAGGATTTGTAATACTGTGTTTTAGAATGTATTATGCATTATGTAAGTCACATTCTTTACCACCTTCGTAGCATATGATTACAAAATAAATCTTATATTTCATTTATATTTTGGATGAACTAAGAAAAAATCCAAAATAAATATGTGTGGATACATATACATATATATTTTTATACTTATAGACACATATACATATATTCCCTGCAAGACAATCATACAAAAGATCTACAGATAGAGGAAGGTGTTTGTATGTGAGCTATAGTCTTCAGATAATGGAATCATCTTGTAACTTCCCTGGGGATTAGAACAGAGAATTTCAAGCAGGAGAAAAACATAATGAAAATAAATAGTTCTGTTGCTGCCAGAACAATCTTCACAAGTAACTCCCCCCTCTTGATAAGACTTTCTTCCCAGTCCCAGAAAGTGGGGTTTGATGATGGGAACTAAAAACACACATGGTTAGAGTAGCCAAAGAGAGAGGAGACAGGGTAGGGGGAGAGAAAGTGTCTGTGGATCCCAAGAACTCTAGGCCCATTCAGTAGGCCTGCCACCTACCTTCACCTCCACTTGCTATGAGGGTAGCTATAGTGCAGGGTCCTCTAAAGCTCTTGCTTCCTCTTCTCCAGCCCCTCCCCTCCAGTCAAATGCAGGGCTTTGTACAGGCTAAGCAAGCACTTGACCACTAAACTGGATCCTTCCCACAGGACTTCTCAGGGCTGCCCTTCTTCTCCTCAGAACACTGGGGGATAAGGAAATTACCTTCAGTGGCAGGGTGTAAAGAAAATTCATGAATTTTAACAAACAGGCTCTGAAAATTTGATAAGACTGAGGAGCAGTGAAAATTGAGAAGAAATAAAAAAATTGTGATAATGCCTTCAATATGGAAGGATCAAAATCAATTGCCTTTTTGTTATCCAATTATAATTCCACTATTGGGAAGATTTCTTTTCCTCCAGAGTTTATTTGAAGATTTGGGAGAAACATTCTTGCTTTTATAAACCTCATTCATTTTCTTCTGCTCAGTTGAAAATTGATCTGTGGCTGGGCGTTGGTGGTGCACACCTTTAATCCCAGCACTCAGGAGGCAGAGGCAGGCGGATCTCTGTGAGTTCAAGGCCAGCCTGGTCTCCAGAGCAAGTGCCAGGATAGGCTCCAAAGCTACAGAGAAACCCTGTCTCGGAAAAAAAAAAGAAAAAGAAAAAAGAAAAAAAGAAAATTGATCTGTAACAATTAGCCTGGGCAGCAAAGTAACACCTCAGAGCATTTAAATTTTCCTGTCTCTGATATTCCCATAACCACTTTGAAAAGATTACTATTTTTACTTCTCAAAACACTAGTGATTTCAAATTGACATAATGTTAAAAAGAAAAAAAATCAAATGTTAGTATGAACAGTATTTTAAAGATTATACTTATTTTTATTTTCTATTTTTATTTTTTGACTCACTTTCTCCACATACTCCTAGCTACCTTGAAACTCACTCTGTAGACCAGGCTGGACTCAAACTCACAGAGATCCACCTGCCTCTGCCTCTTGAGTGCTGGGATTAAAGGTTTTTGCCACTACACCCAGCTCTAAAGATTTTGATAAATAGATAATTTCATTTTATGGGGCTAAGAGTACTACTGACAGCTCTTACAGAGAACTTGGGTTCAGTCCCCAACATCTTACATAGCAACTTAAAACCATCTGAAACTCCATTTCCAGGGGATCCTATGCCTTCTTCTGGCTGTGCAGGCATATACATGGTGCATATGCATCCAGGCAAAATACCCATACACATAGAGTAAATATAAATCTTTTTCTAAAAGATAATTTCATTTTCTTAGAGAGAGAAATGTGTCATTGTGAAGTTTGCTTTAATTCCTTGAATTACACAAGTCTCCACTAAAGTTATTTTTTAGAATTTTTATCAAAGTAGCATGTTTTAACTAAAACAATTTATTTTCTATACTTGGAATTGAACTTGGAGCCTCACACTTATAAGCTGCTGAACTATATCCCAGGTAATTTAAAGTCTCTTTTTATTGGATTTGAGACTCTTCGCACTTTTGTTGGCATAACTTGATGCTGTAAATTCTTTCAAATTCACATAATTTTGTTAATCTTGATTATTATCCTCCCTTGTCCAGAATTTGGATCCAGAAAAAAAAATTAGCCTATGACTGCAGTAGATAACACTTTTTCTTTTCTTTTCTTTCTTTCTTTCTTTCTTTCTTTCTTTCTTTCTTTCTTTTTCCCTTTCTTTCTTTCTTTCTTTCTTCCTTCCTTCCTTCCTTCCTTCCTTCCTTTCTTTCTTTTTTTTTGTTTGTTTTGCAAGACAGGGTTTCTCTGTGTAGCCCTGTCTATCCTGGAACTCAATCTGTAGACCAGGCTGGCCTCAGACTCAGAGATCTGCCTGCCTCTGTCTCCTGAGTGCTGGGATTAAAGGGTATACCACCACTGCCAGGCTCCTTTTTTTTTTTTTTTTCTATCTCTAAAAAGTAAATTGACAAGTTTTTCATTTAATTATTGTTAATAGATAAAATAAATTTGGAAACAAATCTATGGTTTCCTCAATTTAGTGATCCAGTTGATTTTGCAGAGTACATTTGTCAACAAAAATAAAGTGATTTTGATTTGTAAAGAGGGACATTAAATTGAAGGAAGCATTTGTTCAGAGGTTTAAGTAACAGGCAGTCTGATTAACCACACACACAAAAAAAATGGAACATTTGAAAATGAGTACACCGAAACACTAGAACCAACTAGAACAATCACAAAAACACTGCAAATTTTCCACCAGACATAATTTCTCCTGTCTCTCTCCAAACCAGATCAGTCTCCTTGATCACTGGAGACCCAGGACTCCAGGGTACCTTTTCCTTTTTGCAGTGCAACCCTTGGCCTCCTATGGCATTGGTTTATAGGGTGGATTTTCCTTTTACATCACTTCATTGCTCCCTATTGTTGTTTCTGTAGACACAACATAGTACTACTTATTTTAGAAACTGAAGTTTATGTCTTGTGACGACTGTTTTAACACTGTGAAGCCATAGATTTCTCTCTTACTTTTGTGGATGACACCCTCTGTCCCCTCAAGTCAGTAAGTCCTAAGAGTCCCAGGGGCAAAAAAAAAAAAAAGAGTCCCAGGGGCAAAGTTCAGCACTGCTCATCAGCAACTGCTTAGAAGTTTCTTATTCTGGGCTGCACTTCCAGGACTTTATTGCTAAAGTAACTGCTCACCTTTGGAGAGCAGAGACAACATGAGGTGCTCAGGAGAAGGTGTAATGGCAGAACCATTTTACATCTAAGAAATGAATACTACCCTGTTTATGGGATCATTGGCAAGGTCAGCATCCTTATGTAAATAGTACTCAATCATATGTTTGCAGATTTGTGCATGCTTTTGACAGCCTTGCTTACTGCAAGCCTTATTAACACTCCACTAGCAGTGTGCACTGCTATCTCAAAAGCATTTTGTTGTGCTAAACACTTTTGATACCTAATACTGTATTTGTTAAACTTTAATTTCTTACTCATTTTAATAAAATTAAGTTTAAACTGGAAATATTTCGAATATGTTCAGAGTTTGTCATTATTCTAGTCATTAACTTTCTTGAAATGTACTTCTCTTTCTTTAAACTGTTAATTTTTTTTCTCTTCTTTTTAGATAGGGTCTTACTACATAGTCCTGGCTGGCCAGAAATTATGTGGACTAGACTGGCCTCTAACTCCCACAGATCCACCTCTGCCTCCAGAGTACTGGAACTAAAGGCTTGTGCCACCATGCCTGGCTAAGCTATCAATTGAACTCTACCGTGGTTCTAAAAACTGAATTGTTAAAGCTGGTTGTATGCTTATAATCCCAAACTTGGGAGGTAAGGGCAGAGGAGGAAGATTGCTGCTAATTTGAAGCCAGCATGTTGTACATATCAAGTTCCAGGCCAGTCAGAACTGCATACACAGGAAGACTCTCTTTTCAAACACTGGGGATGGGAACTGAAGCCAGCATCTTGCACATGCTAGGTAAGCACTGTGCCAGTAACCTTATCCCAGGCCTGTGCCTTTGTTCAGGTGCTGAGGGTGGCGCTCAGGGCCTCAAGCATGGCAAATACACACTCTACTACTAAGCTACAGTGCAGGCCCCACCGAATTGTCTGAAATAGTGTTGCAGACAGTTCTGATGTATCTGTCTTATCCTTTTCATTTCGTTTTGTTTTGGTTTTGGGTTTTTTTGGTCTGTTGAGATAGGGTTTCTCTGTATTGCTTTGGAGCCTGTTATGAAACTCACTATGGACCAGGCTGGCCTCAAACTCACAGAGATCTGCCTGCCTCTGCCTCCCAAGTGCTGGGATTAAAGGTGTGTGCACCACCAACACCCGGCTCTATTTTATCCTTAGTAGTGTAGCATCTGAATACTAATAACGTCATTCACTAGCAACTACTCATAAACTGAGCAGTAATCTGTAAGTAGAACAACACTGTATACTGTTCTCTTCAATTCAGAGAAGTCTCCAAGCATTATTTCAATTGCTTCTAAAATAAAGATGTTCTATTTATCAGTTTAACACTAGTTCCAAATCTCTTACCAGCAAGATTTCACTGTCTATCTGTTTGTCCCTCTGTCTCCTCCCTCCCTTCAGTTGGGAAGTGGGCAGATACAACCCAGGACATTGCCCAAGATAGCCAAATGATCCTTAGGTGTTTTCAGCTGGGAATGGTGTTACAAGCTTTAACTCTATGAGTTTGAGGCCAGCCTGTTCTACGTTATCAGGTTCCAAACCAGCCAAGGCTACACAATAAAACCTTGTTTAAAAAAAAACAACACTAAAATTAAGAGGAGTTAATAGCTCTAGACCTAACAAAAAAACAAATTTAATAAAGACAAAGCATGTAATAGTTTCCACCTCAGTTACACTAAAGTTTTTAAGGGGAAAATGTTATCATTTATAATTTCAAATTTAAATGATATGTTAAAGGATTGAAATTTTTGAATAATGCTAAATTTAAGCCATTTTTGAAAAGCAAGGTCTTTTTTTCTGGAATTTAATAGACTTTTTTTCAGTCTCATTTTAAGATGATAAACTTGCAGTCTGAGTTTACACAATCAGAAAAATACATTGAAGGCTTTGCAGCGTTTCACTCCTCTAACTTTCTCAAAATGGATCCTTTTAG